GATTGTTAAAAAAAAGAAAAAAAAAAAAGAAAGATCACGGAGTCATGTATACTCGAAACCAGAACTAAACCTGGAGAAGTGGGACATGGCCCACCCGCCCATAGTAGGGACTGGGACTCTTGGAGTACAAGAGGGGCATTAGAGGCCATAGTAGGTTTATTAGGAATGTAGTACATTTAGGGTTGAATAAAGCGGTGGCTGTAGCCTGTAAGGTTTGGGTGGCATTGAACAAGCAGAACCAAGCTGCGGTGCGTTCAGGGGGGTGAGTGCTGCAGGCCAAACAGGCCCGCCGTCTTCACCCGAACGGCCGGCCATTATAGCTGTATTTGGGGCATTTTTCAGTCCAGATGCAGCGACCGGGCGTGCTATTGGGGTGACGACGAATTGACAGTAGACCTGTAGCTTCCAGTCATTTCCTATGGGCCAAGTCCATACCAGCCGCGTTGAGAGTTTCCTCGACGCGGCGACGCCCAACTGGGGGACGTGTTTTTGGAGAGGTGCAGAAAATTGAGTTCAATTTCCTCGACCTCACATCTCCACAAACACGTCCAGATTCGGGCGTGGCGTTAAGGAAACCCAACGCCGCTAGTGGGACTTGAACCCCGGGTGTATTGTTGAGGTCCCCAGCCTCTATCTCTATGAGTAGTTGAAATTTGACATTTATTTAATTTTTTGGTAAAGAAAATAAGGGGTAACTACGCAGGAGTCACAAAAACGAGTTATAATTGCAATATGGCCAAGATACAGTTTGCAATATCACTTCGGGCATCCTTCCTGGCCAGCAAGCTGGGTTGTATACATTGCCTGAACTGCAATTCGAATCTGTACCTTGGTCCATAGTGCAAAATTATAACTCATTTTTGTGACTCCCGGGCCAGGTTTCCCCGAAATTCTAATTTTGAGCAACAAAAAAGTGGAAAAGGAATTAAAGATAGGCGCAGAAAGCAAACGCATGCAAAATAACGAGAGCCGGGGCCCGAGAGAAAACAGATTAAAAAAAAAAAAAAAAAAAAAAAAAAAAAAAAAAAAAAAAAAAAAAAAAAAAAA